GTAATCATTTTTAAATTCCAATATTACATTTATTGTGGGTAGAAAAGGAGATGTTATACAAAGTAAACATTAATTTAATAATTTCTTTAGTACAATATAAAAACAGATTCTTTTGTTTGGTAACATGTTCTTGTAATATCAAACTTGCTATGTTTCCTAACACATTATAGATGGGCAATTATACATCAAAATAGCTGCAATTTTATATTGTATTAATTAGTATTAGAGCTTTATTGCTGATTTATCACTTTACATATTAACTTATGTAGCAAAACACCCTCAAACTGAAAATTATATAGTTGGGAAGTCTGTCAATAACATGTCCAGATCATATTTTACCCCCAGTACAAAATAAGAATTTATCATTTGCACAAAGAAAATAAAGCCTTTTTGTTCAATAAGGGAATTGTTTTTTTAAGACAATTAAGCACATTTCATATTTAAATGAGACAAAGATTAACAATAGAAATATGTTTATATATTTAAACAATTTTATTCAAACTTCTTTGACATAACCAGTGAATAAGAAACAATTACTAAATGTACATACATTTTATAATTCCAGTGATTAGTACAAAATTTGATATTTTACCTGAAATGCATTCATGAACCTCTGAAAAACCAGTCATGGTTTGTCCTCTGAAAAGCAATGGGCAATCATACATTGCATGACAAAACACATATTACATTTGTATTTATAAAATCCAGCTCAGTTCCTGTTTTTCCATTCCATGTGGCCTACATCACTCTGTCTGCCTTGAAACATTATATTATATTTCAACACATTAAGTACAAGACAGGTGAATGCCAGGTATGGGGAGAGGATGGAGGAACCAGAGGAAACACTGTGACATCTTTACTAAATACGAAAGATTTAGTTTAATGACACAGGACGGAACAGTTTAGTTGGCAGCAACGACGCTCCTCTACACTGGACGTCTACAGCCAGGTACAAGGCAAGGGATTCTGGGAAAGAAGCCCAGAGGTCAGCAGGTGGCGTCGATAATATTGCCATCCATCTGGTGGCGATAAACTACTCGCGCTTTGTGGGAAAAATAAACGGGACGTGCGGCGCTTTCCTCTCCGTCGTAACCCCAGGAGACTGTCGGAGAGAAGCCAGGTTGCACCTCAACAGATGGCACTGTGAACGCAAAGAGAGAGAGAGGAAATGAATGTCCAGTGTCGAGTATTGAAAGACGGTGTGATTTATAACTTCATTAGCAACATATCAGGACAAGATTTGGTAAACAAGGTGACTTACCAGGCGGAGGAGGGCACAGCCTGCTTTTACCCCGGTCTTTACAGCGTTTGTACCAAGGAAAACACTGCAAGACTTTCTTACCCATGGTTGGCCCACTCTAGAGGTCTGGAGAGAGAACATAAAGTGTAAGATCTACTGACTGATGAACATGGACTTTCAGTGCCATTGTGTTTGTTTCTTCAAGCTTATCTCACTTCTCCGACCGGAACGTTAGCTGAGAGGTGAAAGCGGGAGATTTGCTAATAATGGCTCAAAGAAACAAAGAGCTCATTCATCCTGAGAGGATTAATCCTCAGTCGCGTCTGAGGCTTGTAACGCTGCTATATCACTTGAGCGGGGCGCATAGTTGTGTTCCCTGACCCACTTGGGACAACCGGCCGAGAACAACCAGCTCTGACTCCACAATCAGTCATAAAGTCAGACTCAGTGTATATAAATCTTAACTACAGGAAGGGAACCGCTATATAGCAACAGAACACATTTGTTGAGTAAATATTGAGCAGCACCACCCGTGTATTTAGCAGAATGGGACAATGATTGATTTTGTCACATATAAATCGTTAAAATGCTCTGATGTGACAAATGTAGTGTATTTACAAAGAAATAACGTTAGTAAAATAAAATGTGCTACAAATACATTTCCAGTTTTGCCAAATTTAGCAACCAGAGATAGAATAAAAAAAAAAAGTAAAGTCATATTAATACTAATTTATTAAATAAAAAAAAATGAACAAATCAATGTTCTTTATACCATTGAAAATTTTACATATATAGTTATAGTTGTTTATTTATTTAGCAGACACTGTTATAAGCAAACAAATAAAGAATACTCTTGGAAAATTGTTAAAAATGTAGAATAAGATTTTTAAAAATATGGAATATATTGAAATACATTCTTTAAATGTTTGTTCACACAACATCAACATGTTTGATCTTGATAACTGCAGAGGTAATATAGTGAATAAATAAATAATATTGTTTTTATAATAATAATAATAATAATATTATTATTATTATTTGTACCCAGGGGGGTACAAAATGCAGGCTGTGGAACATTTGAATAAATTGATGTAAATAAATATTTTATATATGTATCCATTAAATTTATAATATAATTTATTTAAATTTAATATACAATTTAGAATTTACAAAGCATGTGCTTTAGTACTGGCAATATAACTTCTTTTTCTGATGATACCCTATACGATAATATTTTGGGCTCCTTTACATCAACAGTTAGAAACTAGCCAAGACCCTCTTCTCTCCAGTGCTCACTGATCCTTTGATTGAGCACCATACCTACAGCCTATAGATGCAAGAAAAAAGATCTGTAGTTCTATGAAAAGCATCTTACATAAAACTCAACCGAAGAGAGGTTAATCCTTCATTTAAGACAATCAAACCAGAGCGACTTGGCGCGCGCTGCACACGAACACATCACAGATCAAATGAGTTCAAAGCCAGATAACCAAGAGCCCAGCATCAACACACTGACATAATCATATTGTTTATAGCCTACAACTTAGTAAAATGTTATTTTAATTAATAAACTCTTGAAATGCAGAGGAGATATGCAGTAATATATAACTTATATTTCAGGATAGCATAATAACTTTAGCAATAACATTGCAGGATAAATAAAAAATATTCACGTTGGAGTAGCAATAATATAGTTGGGCATAGAAGAGTGAGTATAGCTATTATTATGTCAAGCACACTAAGCATTTATGCACGATGCATACATATTAAAAAGTTGTACACATAATCTTTGCCTACGTCACACACCCGTTTTAAACATTTCAATCACCAACTTTTGACAAACGTACCTGTAGAGGAACGAAGTGGCGCCGTGTGTCTTATCCAGTGATTTGTTGGAAGTGCTGCGTTTGAAACTCTGCCTCCATGAGATTGCGCCCGTGCTGGTCCCTATAGAGATCGTGTTATGGCAGTGATCAGGTCGCATTCCCGGAGGATACTGATGCTGTACTGACTCTATCTGCCCTTCTGTTCGTTACCTCGCTTGCGTATTAAAGCTTTGATTGAGCGTGCGCGGAACGCCATGGGAAATTTCCACCGGCTGAGGCTTTAAATAACTAATCCTGCGAGCCACAACAAAAGCTCCTGACCTCAGAAGTGGCTGAGTACATTTTCCCTTTTTTTCAATATTTGTCTTAGCAGACCTTATTAATAAACTGCACTCAAAAAACAAATAAACCAATGGCAATTAAAGCTGCTGTAAGGGAGTTTTTGCCTGTAGTACCTGACTGAAAGCAGGCACTACAGGCACTAGATGTCTGAGAAATCAAACTATATCATTATAATAGTCAGGGCTGCCAGGTCCAGCCCAAAGCTAACTCAAAACCCACCCAAAAGGAATGAAAACGATAGCCCATATTTTTGCCCAGTCCAGCAGCTGACAGCTGCTTTATTCCATAAATTCCCTTTAAAATAAACCTTTTGATTCTATTTATTCTCTGTTTTGAATCTTAGCCAGACTTGAGTATATGCAGTAGCCTATGTGCGTATTAGATTATTTAATCTGTATTTTCTTTTTTTCTTTTACCCTTTTCAGCACTTTTCATGATACACTTTTAAATTAGGGCTGGGTAATATGGCCAGAAATATTATGACTTATTTTCCCATATCATATTTATCAAAATATTAATTTACCATTATTATGGAAGGAAATTCTTTGAGAATGCATGTAAACATAAATTATTTTTCATAAATCCTTTCAAGCCAACTTTTAATATAGGGCCCCATGAAATTCACTTTATTTTCCTCTAAATTCTGTTTTCCATTTTATTTATTTTGTTTTATGATTTCAAATTAATTTTAATGAAATTGGTAAATAAAACTAACAATGTAATCAATCTTTTAATATAATATAATATAATATAATATAATACAATAACTATTAATTTACAACAATTTTTATTTTTGTCAAATATGATGATGCAGCATGACAAAACTGTAGCCTATGTTTGATATTAAAACATGGATGAAAAATAATTTGGGTTGAATGATATTCCTTAAAAATAATAGTAATAATATTATTTTGAGAAGTACATTTGACTATTTCATAGTAATATATTTCTGTTAAAATGTTTGTTTTGTAAAAGCCTTAACATCTTTGCTGTGGGTGAAACTCACGTAATAATTGATGGCCCCCACTTTTTTCCCTACTGTAAAAAGGTTATGTATGTTACTACTGTATGCTACTTTATGTTAGACAAAGGGGATTGTTGGAAAAGTTTAATTACCAGCATTCTTCAAAATATCTTCTTTCATGTTCGACATAAGAAAGAAACTCATACAGGTTTGGAACGACATGAGAGTGAGTAAATATTGACATAATTTTCATTTTGGGATTGACTATTCCTTTAAAGGGTTAGTTCACCCCAAAAATGAAAAGTCTGTCATTAATTACTCACTCTCGTGTCGTTCCAAACCTGTAAGACATTCGTTCATCTTAAGAACACACATTTTTGATGAAATCCGAGAACTTTCTGACCCTAACGCAACTACCACATTCAAGACCCAGAAAGGCAGTAAGGACATCGTTAAAATAGTTCATGTGACATCAGTGGTTCAACCTTAATTTTATGAAGTTACGAGAATAGATTTCTTATGTGGATTAGTTTGGATCCACAGAAATCATTTACAACAGTCGCACTAAAAATGACTAAATAGCTTGCTACACATTGACCATTTTTAAAATTTCATACATTTATGGCGGGAATGTTTGATTTATTTTATTAGTAAGAGGTGTTTGTACAAATAAGAAAATTTTTACAAATAGTTTCTTATGATAAATGTACAAAAATCACTAAGATACTAAAAATGCAAACATATTTTTACAAAGGAACAACATTACAATAGGTATTTCATTTTTAAAAATAGTTCCACCCTTTTTCACCATCTTACAGACCTTAGGTTAGAAACCATATTGAATTCATCATGTATGAAAACGAGGCTTTGAGGGATAGACTTACCATCTTTACAATGGCCCGCACTGTATAAAGATCCTAATAAAGGTTCCAAAAGGGGGTTTTCACAGCGATGCCCAATTTCGGTTGCCCAAAGAACCTTTAAGTGAACAGTTCTTAAACGGACCATTTTTTCTTAGCGTGAAGAACATTTTAATAGTCTAAAGAACCCTGTTCCACAGCAAAGAACCTTTTGTGGAATGAAAAGGTTCCATGGATGGTAAAGGTTCTTTGTGGAACCACTGATGCCAATAAAGAACCTTTATTTTTAAGAGTGAAGTTCATGTAATTTTCATAACTTTCAAAACCGCTTTGTCTTCCGAAAAAAGAAAGAACAACAGTAAAACCAATAGAACGCACTGTACTTCTATCCCTCGTAGCCTTGTTTTCATTCCAGACAAAAATGAAATATGGTGCTACCCCGACTAAGGTCTATAGGTTGATCCAGTTAAAAAGGACTAAAAAAACATCACTGCAAAAGCATGGATAAAAAAAAAATCTGATGTTGAATAAATGCACAATTTGTAAAACTGCTGAGAACATGGCACTGCTTGCATTGACATATCAGCACTCTTTGGTTCTTTGTATGTGACCTATTGCTATGGCTATTCACATAAAGTTCACCATGCTCTTTTTTTTTTAGGCTGCTCAAACCCACACGCTACCCTTTCCCTCGCTCTCTCCTGCCCCCTGCTGGCCACAGCAGCCCCCCAGGCCTCGATGCCGTGATGCAGGCAGGTTCTTGTAGACGGCACGGCTGTAGGGGATGAAACACAGGCCCAGCTGGAGGTGGCGTGCCATCCTGCAGTAAGCGGCCAGAGCCAGAACCAGGAGCGGAGCCAGCAGCAGGAACCCAACCACCAGTAAAGCCACACAGCCTCCATCATCCAAGAGATCTGAACAGTAGACGGAAGTACCATGGCGCTGAACCTTTGGAACAGACGGGGAGGAGTGCAAGAAAAGGAGTTAGTTAGGAAGATTTCACAAGAGATGGAGGGAGGGGACTGAAAGTACTGTAAAAATGGTCTGATATATGTTGTCAGTTCAGATAAGAGCATGATTACATTGACCAGAGATAAGAAAATTAAAACATCCACATAAGCAGTGGGAGTTGACTGGGGCAGCTCAGTTGGAGACAGCTAACTGATCACTGACGCAGGGAAATGATAAAGAGAGGATCATGTGACAGTTTATTTCTTCTTCTCCCTCGGGTGATTTGTGTTAGTTGAACTGAATTTTGGGAAGTTTATCTGAGCTGTTTTAATTTCTTTTGGAGGGAGAGAGATGAAATTTGGGGTGGAATCACAGTATGTGAGGAGAAGTACAGAAAAAAAGATTAAAATATAATAGCACAGGTATCATAAATATACACTGACTTTCAAAAGTTTGGGGTCAGTAAGGTTTAAAGACATTGACACTTCAAGGACTCATTAAACTGACAATAAAGAATTTTATAATGTTACAAAATATTTATATTAAAACAAATGCTGTTCATATGAACTTTCTATTCATCAAACAATCCTGAAAAATTTATTACGGTTTCCACAAAAATATGAACCACCAAATCAGCATATTAGAATGATTAGAAGGATCACATGACACTGAAGACTGGAGTAGGCCTAATGACTGCTGAAAATTCAGCATTTCCATCACAAGAATAAATTATTTTTTAAATATATTAGAAATAAAAAATTGTTCTTTTAAATGGTAATAATATTTAACAATATTACTGTTTTTCAAGTATTTTTTATAATAATCGGAATCAACATTAAATAGTGTTAGATTGGATATTAACTTTAAGACAACGTTACTTATTTGTTACGTAACTTAGACAGAACTTACCGTTGAATGGCAGAGGAAGCCAAAAGCGACCATGACGAGCGAAGGCAAGAGAATGAGGCCGAAGATAAACGCAGCCAGACCCACATTGAGCGCGGCGATGATCAGATTCTGTGCTGTTACCAGAACAGAACAGGCCCAACAGTCCAGAGAGCCCCTCAGCTCCAGAGGAGACTCGTTCAGCGCACTGCCTGCTATCGAGTACGGAGGAGGAACCACCACACATGAGCTGGACACGTTTGCTGGAGTACTGGAGGAGATGGAGCCGGTGTGATGGAGGCGCGGGTGAGGGGAATCGAGCTCCCCTCGGTCCGTGGCGGTCTGCAGGGACACGGGTTTCTCCAAGGTACCGTTACGGGAAAGACTCATCTTGCCGTTCATCAGTCTTTCAAGTTTGAAAGTATAGTTTTTGGCTGGCACAAAAAAAGGAATAAATGAATGAATTGGCTACTGTAAATTGGCCACAAACAGTCATAAATAGCCTTTTAAGTCACGCTAACAGCAATAAAATTACTAGCCTATTAAAGGAATAATTCAGGTTCAAAAGAAGTTAAAGGGATAGTTCACCCAAAAATGAAAATTCTGTCATTAATTACTCACCCTCATGTCGTTCCAAACCCATAAGACCTTCGTTCATCTTCAGAACACAAATTAAGATATTTTGGCGCTGAGAGCTCTCTGACCCTGCATAGACAGCAACGCAACTGAAATGTTCCCAGACCCAGAAACGCATGGTAAGTAAGGACATAGGCCAACCCCAAAATGTAATCAACGGAATCAGCGTTGTTTACGTTCAGGGGAAAGTGCGCACATGTGTCGTGGTACTCTCCAAAATGCGCACATGTGTCGTGGTACTCTCCAAAATGGCAGAAGATGGTAACTCGAGGAGAAGAATTGCTGAATAAATTGTTCTTTTTGTTTTCTTTGCGCACTAAAAAGTATTCTCATAGCTTGGCAGAACTGAAGTTGAGCCACTGATGTCACATGGACAGTTTTACCGATGTCCTTACTACATTTCTGGATCTGGGAACATTACATTAAGCATGCGTTGCTGTCTATGCAGGGTCAGAGAGCTCTCAGATTTCATCAAAAATATCTTAATTTGTGTTCTGAAGATGAACGAAGGTCTTACGGGTTTGGAACGACATGAGGGTGAGTAATTAATGACAGAATTTTCATTTTTGGGTGAACTAACCCATTAAGCTCAGTGAACAGTAGCCTAGCTGTTTGTGACATAATGTTGATTACCACAAAGAAGTTGTTTAAAGAAAAGCAAAAGATTGAGACACTTAAATATAAAAGTAAATGTGGCCCATTTTTTATAAGATTTAAAAGTGAAGCTTATCATTTTATAAAAACAAGAAGCAAAAGACAAAAAGTGTGGACTATATTTCTCTAAAAAGGTGTGGTAAAATGTAGAGAACGCAAACGGTGATAATAACACTGAAGATCAGGAAATGAAGCCGCTGACCCCACCCTGATCTCCAGGATGACCAAAAAATACAAAACAATAACTTTGGAATGGCTCATCAGGAAACCCCGAATGCTGACCAGACCACAAATACTATAAAACAGTGGAACCCTAAAAGAGCAACATCCTAAAGAAACAGTCATAAATAGCCTTTAACAGCTTGTTACAGATCCACATTAACCGTATAAGCAAGTGAATGTCAGGAAAATATAAATTTTCCTCTGATTTATGCAGGTTAGTCTCTTTGAGCAATAATACACATTGAGTAGTATAAGGACAGATGTTAGTGCACAGATCATCTACATGTTTTAGATTGTGACTTCAGGACTCGGAGGTCACATGCTTGCTTATTCTTTCTAGGAATAATTCCTCTGCTTACCCTTGTTTATTTGGAGTGGGCCCAATTTTTAGTGAGTACAAGTATGATATCACGCTTCCATTAATAGTTCCGATGTTATCAAGACCTTGATTTAAAAACCTTTCCCACACAATCACCTTTTAAACTCTTATTCCTACAATTTGTTGTGACCTTGAGGAAGTTTTCAATAGCCTGTATCACTTAAGTGTTTATTAAAGTGACAATAATTACCAAAAGACTCATTTATATTGTTACACTTATAGAATTATAGATATTTAAAACATAAATATTTTATAATATAGAAATATTTTCTTTTATTTAAGTGTTTATATGTTTTCATTAGTGTGAATAGTGCAAACATCTGTACATTTGCCAAGATTAAATCCCCACCATGACCAGTCTTACATTCTGCAAGGTTCAGAATATCAGGAAATTCCACAAAATATATAAATATATAAAGGGGGTTTTGACAGGACATAGACAGTCTTCAGGGAATTAAGGTCAGTATATATAGCAGAACAGAGCCCAAACTGAACTAAACTATGAAATAAGTTCAAACAGTGTTTATCACTGGCGTATTGAAAATTAAGAATATATTTCATCTTGGTCTAAGATACCAGGCCTTAATGCTTCATAAAGAAAGACCTTTACAATCTAATCATTCAAAGCCTGAATGATTGAAAGGCCACAGTTTATATGTGCATATTTAAATATATTTTTTTATTATTTTATTAAATGGATGTTTTAATCTTTTTGCTCTCCAAGACTGCATTTATTTGATCACAAATACAGTATAGTGAAATATTATAACTATTTAAAATAACGGTTTTCTATTCCTATTCCTATTTCTATGCCATTTATTCCTGTGATGCAAAGCTGAATTTTCAGCATCATTACTCCAGTCTTCAGTGTCACACGATCCTTCAGAAATCATTCTAATACGATTTAAAAAATCTGCACACAAAAATAAAAAATTAGTGACTTTTTTTTTGTGTGGACAGTGTGATATAAAGTAAAACCCTAGAAGGCATTTACATGAAACAGTGTTATTTACATATAAGTTCAAACCCAATCCAAAGTCTAAAATCTTCTATACTTACAGAGTAATAAAGTTGGTTGTCCGTTTCCCTCAAACACCACCTTTCCTCCTGTAGAAAAATGTCCTTTACTTGTTATATAATTTCCTTTCCCCAATGAATCCTTCACATTGGCTGAGATGATTATTCCAGTCTAAAATTTTTACTATATGTTTTATTCATCTAGTTTTCATGTCCACCTGTAGAATCTCCACTGGCTCTGTGTGAAACTGAACTCTGTGGAACGCTCACTCCTCTCTTCCTCCTTTCCTGCTCCGCTCTTTCCTTCCTTTGACGAAGATGTCCTGCCTTGGTATCTCGGTTATATCTCTCCGCTCCCACTTCTCTTTCTGACCTCCCGCTGCTCCGGCTGGGGCATTTAGGATTGTGGGGTGTTGGGTAGTGGGGGCGTAGTCTTATCCAGGAGATTTTTTGCCTAATAAGATGGATGACCTGGACTCCCTTTGGAGCTACACACTCCACAAAAGAGTGTTTTGCACATTACTCTGAACAAATTTGGTGTACTTTGAAACAATTTTCACTCAGAAATAGTTAGTAAATTTCATTTCTTAAATTGTGGCAGACTTTTTTTTGTTTTGTAAATTTGAGAACATTGAAAAGATCTTTAGAAGCATGTCATAAAAAAACTGTCATTTCATAGTTTAACTATAAAAGGTCCTGAAAGCAAACCTAAAGAACAGATTTCTGCATCATTATTAATGCAGTAGTTGGTGTTTTGAGTAAAGGGGCAGCTTGAATGATTGACTTGGGTCACTTTCAAAAGAAAAAACCCTGCCCGTTACATAACCCTGGTTCTTACATCACAAGCTCTGTATTTTCATCACAGTCTTAGAAAACCAGACCCTCTGGTCTAAAATCAGACATCTCAAGCACAATAGAAGAACTCGGATGTCCTGAGGAAAATATATAACATGATTAAGAGGCATACCAAAAAACAGTGAAATCTGAAAGAGATTGGAGAAACTCCCAGTGGCACAGAAAGAGATCAAGAAGGCTTTCTCGCTTGAGTTACAAAAATATGAAATGCTGTATATAAGAGTTACTAAAGGCTTTATGTCGGTCTGTATCATTAAGGGCCCTCTAAAACATTTGGGTGCAGCTACAGCGGGGGGAGTTGATGCCTGTTTAATATCTCTCAGGACGTGTCAGAGCTGTCAGGGCACAGGGGGCTGTTGGGATGTTTTTTTGGAGATTTCAGCAGACGTGATGTAGATTGGCTTTGAATGAGATGCTGGAGGTTTTTGCTTCAGGATCCAAAATTAAATGCGGAAATTGTGGCCAAAAAATGTTGGTAACACTTTAGGGAATAATTCTCACTTTTAACTAGTTGCTTATGCCTATCAATAACATTGGCTGTTTATTAGTGCTTATAAAGCACATATTCTGCATGACCATATTCTACATCTCTAATCCTACCCAATACCTAAACTTAACAACTGCCTTACTAACTATTAATAAGCAGCAAATTAGAAGTTTATTGAGGCAAAAATTAGTAGTTAATGGTTTGCTAATAGCGAGAATTGGACCTTATAAAATAAAATAAACCAAAATATATATAAAAAAAAAAATCTGCAAATGGTTTATTATATTATAAACTGAATACATGATGCTAAGTCTTTTAGCTTCTTATATTATATCTTATAACTGCCATATGGACATTCCTTTGACACTAATCTATGAATAAATGTCATTTTTCATGGATAATATAATATAATAAAAAAATAAAATCATTTGTCTTGACAGCTCTGATATGTCCTGAGAGATATTAAACCGATATAATATAATGTAATATAGCATTTTCTATTTCCTTTTGTAGCCTATTTATTTTGCTGTCCGAACTATGCACCATTGTATGGTTACTTGCATGTACTTATTTGCATTTAGCATAATTTTGTTGGCAGCTGTCTGTGATTTTATCAGAACTGATAAACATTTTCAGGTCATGACCCACCGGCTGAGAATGACTGTGATAGAGTGAACTGGATAAGATATCGAGTTAACAGGTGAAAATAGGATGATGACTTTATCTGTGAGCAAATAAACAGTTTACAGTTGTTTATTCACAGCAGTGGCGATATGTAAAGGGAGATAAAAAAGGGTGCTGGTGAAATATACAAGTTAAGTGTGGAGGGATGGTGAAAAACGAGGTATATCCTGACAGTCATAAAAGAGGAAAACCTGTCTTCCTGTCCTTGGAGCCAGGATTTCCGCAGTAAAGTCCACAGAGAGCACTGAGGTGTCATGACCTCTGCAGGCCTCCGCTTCCACTCGCAGACAGACAGGAGACTGCGAATCTGTAACCTTCCTCTAATATACTTCCACACACAATCCAGAAATAACTTACACGTAAACACATAGGAATTTATCAGAATGTTTTATTTTTTATAGTTAGAATTATATCAGGTATAACACACAAAAATCACAAAATGTTTTAGACAAGTCTGGCTCAGTTCCTTAATGTTTTCCTTTACTTTTTTATTTTATCTTTTCTTTTTTCGTTATACAGTAAAACAAAAAAAATGGCAACGAACCTGAAAACAAACTCTGAGAGGTATGCCTTCAGCAAATCTGAAAACTCTCAATAATCTGCAATTCATCAATGATACAAATCAGAACAGCTAGGATGACTGGAATCATACACGCGTCACAATATCCCGTGTACCTCATGTAAAGCAAACAGATTTCATGTGTTAAATATACAGTACAAAGACATTCAGTTCATAAAAGTGTACTGACTCTGTTCTAAGCACCAACTTGTGAGATTAAATTCATGTTTTCAAACCTACGGATCATTTATACAGACAGAGAGAGACCCGGGAGGAAGGGGGATCAGCACCATTTTGAATCAGACGTTCCCCCGTAAACCTCACCACATTAGCACAACAGAAAGATTTACAAAATACGCATGTCTCAGAAAAAGAGAAGCATCACGAACGATCAATAAATACAAAAGGAAAAGACAAGTAAATAAATAAAAAACAAAGCCAACAAATAATAATTCAGTTATGAGTCCAAAAATAAGAAACTCAAAGGAGTCGATCAGACTGAGAAATGCACCAAGAGCCACAAGTTTGCAGGAATTTTTTGAGTTGTACGAAAAAAATTCACATAACACACACAAGGTTTTCCAGACAAATGCAATCAAATACGTTTTAGATTAAACCCGTATTTTTTGGAATAACTGTTACATATACTGTACCTCACGTGATATTTTAATGCTCTAAAAAATTTCATTATTTATTTCATCAAATACCGGGAAATCACCTTTTGTCTAAATGTATACAAGGCCCAAATGGTCTTAGTCTAGACTGTTAAAAAAGTTTTTTTTTCTTTCCGAAAAACTTAAAACCTAACAACTTAAAAAAAAATAGCACCCAGTCAAATATGCAAATACCATTTACAAAGGTCAGACTTGTAGTAAATATGACACGACTGAAACAACAGAAAAAACCTAATGCCACTGCAATGGTCATCAGCTCCAAGAGAAATGAATTCCCTGCTGTTATATACATTGTATCAAAGCACCACTTACTCAGATAAACCAGAGACAAACTGGACTGGTGAAATCGTCTACCATTTGCATAAAAAACGTAAACGACATCAGTACCTGAATTAATGCACATGTTCGGCAAGTTGACAATTTTTTTTTAAAAAGGAATCACAGCAGTTATCCAGTGTGGATGAGTGACCTGATAGCCAAGTCCAATGATGTAGCACCACTCTAGTCTTTCTGTAATCAGGAGCGTGAGAACTATCAGATGTCTGAGGGGAAGACGACTGCGCTGGAGAGACATTGGCTGATAGTATTGTAAACAATGGGAAGTAAACAGCGATTTGATTGGCTGTTCCGTAAGTTGCAGTAGTGGTTTTGGTAAAGAAAAAGAAAAAAAAAAGAAGAACGTAAGGTTTGTGCTGCTGCTATGGGCCAGGAGGGTGGACGATTTGGTTATGGCTGTGTAGTTTCAGACATCAGGTTCACCTACAGCAAGGGACTGGAGCCTGGGAAGAGAAAACTCATGCATTACAATTGCTGTGAAAATAATTTCAGTTTACATGTTTAAAATGGACAGAGTATCATAGAGGTCAATGATGATGTTGTTGATGGATTATTTTACTTGGAAGCATTTCACACGAAAAAAAAAATTCTATTTTGCAATTTTGCATTTTATTTGTATTTATTTTAAACATGTCAAAGCCACAGTTCACAAAGCATGAAAATCAAGCCTATTTAAGAAAAAATGGCCAGCTCACATTTCATATGATAAATTATACTATGCCTACTGAAAATGAAGCCTATTTTATAAAAATGAAAATAGCGTTATATATTGCCATTTCATTTTAAACATATACAGTTCACATTTCACAAAAATTCTATTTTGCATACTAAAAATGAAGCCTATTTTTTTAATGAAAATTAAAAAAGCTTTACATATTGTTTAAAAAAACAATGTCAAGTTCATATTTTACAAAGATATTAGACATTCTATTTTGCGTATTGAAAAGATGCCTATTAAAAAAAATGGAAAAAAATAAAATAAAAATATCATTACTTATGTTATTGTTATTTACTATTTTAAACATATCTTGATGAAAATCAAGCCTATTTTTTTTAAAATAAAAATTGAATAAAAAAAACACACACACACACACACACACATATACATATATATATAATTACAGATTTGACTTTAAACATGTCCAGATCACTATTAACAAAAATATTGTAATAATTATTATTTGCATTACAAAATTAAAAACTATAAAAAAAAATAAAGACAATAAAATAAAATGTAATGAGGTAATGATATTATATATTTTATTTAAACATGTCCAGTTCACAATCTAATTAAATTATGCTTATTTTTTTTAAAAACAAATAAATCTATCATTGCATTTTTTTATTTTAATGTTCAGGTCACATTTCACAAAATTATAAATTCAAGGATACTGAAAATAAAGCCTTTTTGTCTTATAAATAAAAAGAAAAAGTAAAATCAAACATTATTACATGTTACACTTTCACATTAGTGCGTATGAGTGTTTGTCTTACCAGGGTGAAGTTATCATATGTGTTCATGAGCTCACTGACGCGATACTGCTCCAGCACCACCACCCCGCTCAGACTGGGGATCTGCTCCCGAGCACAGTCCTCACAGTGAACCACATACGTCTTCCTACTGCTGTTCTCACTGGTCACAAACAGCAGGTTAAACACCTCCACCTGTTCACACATGCACAGTCACATACATCAACAAGATGCAACATCTCACGACAGAACATTATTTGCCATCAATGTATTGAGTATCCTCA